TTAACCTTGCATACACACCAGTTTTATTATCTCTGCCCCTAACCTGTTCTGCTCTAAATTTTATAGCAAATGTTCAAACTTGAATTTTTTAAAAAAAACTAATTTAATGTGAGCATGCATGTGAACTAGCTTAAGTAGGCTTGAGATTCCAACACAACCCTGAAGACTCCTGCCTCCCTCCCCTAATTCTCTGAATTGAATCAGTTCCGAACATTATTCTAATATCCTTTTCAGAGCTCTCTATAAATAGATGGATTCTCATTTCTCCTCTTAAGTACCATTTGCTAAATGTTTTGGCCCCAAAATTCACTCCTTCCATACAAATACACATGGATTCAGGAGACCTCAGTGGTCACTCATTAGAATGAGACACAATATTATTTTCCCTCTTCTGACAGGGAAGGGAGGAGGTATTAATAAATATGGGAGTCCTTTCTTTTGTATGAAGTGTAAATGACAGGACATTGCAATCTATACTTCTCTGATATCACACTGCTGCTTTTTTGTTGAGAAAAAGAGGCAAGGCCCCGGAGGATTGAAGACTTTGTAAATATAAAATTATCTGCCTCCGTGTTTAAAAATTATAATAAAAGGGAGAGAGAGTTGCCAAGTTGCCAGATTTCTTACGTTACAGTAATAGATTTGCTGACCCCTGACTTCTGCTGTAGAGAAATGTATTGAATATTTTATAATATCAGATGAGGCACATCTAAAATCCTAGTGTGCTGAGCGCCCTTATTCAACTAGAGATTTAGCAAAGCCACGATATTTTCCAGTCCACAATTTCTTGTATGATGATAATTTACTGGCTCTGATATTAATAAATCAAGGCCATAATGCCATTGATTTGTTAATTTTAACTTGGGTTGATTTTTAAGTCTCCCTTATTTTTTTTTAAAGGAAGAAGAATAAGGAGGGGGTAGAATCTGTCTTTTCACAGTGACTGAATTTAATAAGGATCTCTGTAATAGCAAAAGGCTCCCCTACTGTGTCTGCTCTGAGGTGGAAAAATGTTATTCTTGTATTATTCCTGGGGAAAAATAAAATCTCATGCTGTTCCAAATCTTATGCCTAGGAAAAGGTGCTATTATTATTTTTTTTAAATGCATGATGGCTTACCTAGTTCACATCCATTAATGGCATCGTAAATAAGCATTTTGCTAATCTGAGCTATGAAATCTGGACAAGAAGAAAGACCCATTTATCTCCCCGGCTTTCAATCTCTATTCTAGATGCAGATGGGGGTGGGGGTCTGTAGGGATTTACTAATGATTGTATTTCTTCTCCTTCCTACTGCTTCTGCCCACCCAAGACTCAGCCTACGTTCTTTGAGTTGTAACACAATGAAAATATTTCTTCTGTGTAATGGATACATTTTTGCATGTGCTGGTGGGGGAGGAGTGGGTAATACATGTTTGCTTTTTATCTGTACAGTTTCGAAGCTGATTAAATCTTCGTTGTCCTACAAATATTTGAGAAACAATCCTCTGAGAGCCACTGCCATGTTGCATTACACTGCGTTCTTTCATGGGCTACAAACCTGCACAGCTTCCCGTGTTGGGCCATGCTGATCTCATGGCAGCTAATCTGTTTTTTTAATGATAACATGTGTGCGTTGAACATTGAAATGTTCAGAAAGCCATCATAACTTTTGTCCTCTTGTGCAGTTTAAAAAAAAAAAAAGAAAGAAAACCTCTAATAATCAGCTGATAAGATCACATCCTGTGGGGTGATTGTACTGCACCGTGACAGAAGAACTTAGAAAAACACTCAAGGAAGTCACCACAAGCGGAAGTCACTGTATGAAACAGGGCTTGTTTATGTGTGAGAAATGTGCTCTGTTCTTCAGAGCTGGAATTTCTACTGCTTTCTCTTTAACTGCTGCCTCTCTTGTTTTATTTCAGGAGCTTTTTTCCCCCCCTCTGATCGACTATAATTATCTTTCAATGATTTAGAAATGGAAAAAAAAAACAACCCACATTCGCTTGACCTTCACACACACACACACACACACACACACACACACACACACACACACACACACACACACACCACTCTGGAAGCTTTGAACAAGCAGTGTGTGTGTTTGGATTCAGTTTTACCGTTAGTCATGCCTCTTTCCAGATACAAGAAACATTTAATTCCTGATTTCCTGCCTTCTGGCTTCAGGCCTTTGACCGGCAAAGTGAAATATATTTTGTACTGCTGGAGGATTGCCAGCTGCTGAGTTGAGTCAAAATGAGAAAAGATGAGAGAGAGAGAGAGAGAGAGAGAGAGAGAGAGAGAGAGAGAGAGAGAATATTGCCCATCCTCATGAACTTGCAAAATTGTAAGATAAAATCATGTTCTTTCTTGGTGTATACTGGAGAGCTGAGTTAGCCTAAGACTGTCTGTACCCAGAGTGAGGGTCTTCTTAGGGTCCCCAGGTGTGGGTCCCCATCTTGTTCTCTTCTTCCCTTCCTTCTCCTCCTCAAACTCAGCACAGTCATTCTCAAGCAAGAGGGTCCCTCCTGATGTCACCATCTCCATTAGACAAGGGAACTGGGGGAAGGGAGGTATCACAAATGGCAACGGTTGGAATACCAGGGCTTCTGAGCTCCTTGGTTCCCATGGCAACAAAACAAAAGCACAACAAACCTATCTGTCCCAACAATAAAATGTGTTTTCATTACAATCCATTTAAAATATTTTTTCCAGTTTAAAATATTCAATGCATTTTGCTCCTGGTTGAAGAATCCCTTACCTTCTGATATTGGAAAAGGGAATAAGTCCCTGGCAGAAGAACCCAGAGGCCAGAGGAATTGGGGGGAATAAGATATGGACTTTAAAGATGAGACAGAATAAATTCAAGTATGAACAAGACTGCCTTTTTCTCTCTTCTGCATAGTTATGCTCTTCCTTATGTAAACAGGCACTGTAATATTATGGTGGGAAGCAGGTATTTGGCAACCATATATTATTTTAGTTAGTCTACATTAAGAGAGTGGTTTCCAGTTTTAGCAGCTGTAACATGTTTAAACTCGGGTTGTAATGGGATCTGAAGATAACTATCCCCCATGGGTTGTGTTGATCTTCGTGGCTGGCCCACTGCCAGACAGAGGCCTCAAAAGTATTATCCGTGCCTCCTTGCACATACCTTGTCTGAGCATGCTCAGTGAATGGATTTGGGTCCTAAAATACCGTAAATTGGCATTCGACTTTTCCACAATTTGCTTTGTTGTTAAAGAATGAACTCTCAGTGTCTCAAATATCCCCATGTCTTTATTGTGAAACCTGGAACAGTGGTGTATATTTAAGGAGCAAGTAGGCAAATTGTACAATCAGAAACCAATGTTAAGATACTCAACAAATATTTGAAATCAGGGAATTTTTTTTTTTTTGGCCTGGATGTCTTAGTTTAAAAATAAAAGATTCCCAATATTTGAACAGATTGTTTTTTGTCAGCCAAGTACATTTTCTTCATTGAGTCAACTTGTCGTTATTTAAAACAAATTATGTTTGCTGTATTAAGGCTCATATTTTTAAGGCTGAGTCTTGTATTAATCCCACAGTGAGTCATTAATCATACCAAATGCATTAGAAAAACTTTAATCACTGAAGTCGAAACTGGGATTGTAATGCAATCCGTGCCTTTTAATTACATCAGCTCTTTCCCTGTTCAGATCAAGAGCTGTGTCGCAAAGGGAACAGACTCAAACCAGGGCCCTTTGATGTTTCTCTTTTTAGAGCAATTTTATGCGCTTTGTTTTTTAAAGTTATGTAATTAAAATGCTTGGATTTTTCAGCCCTCTGATTTCTGTTGCTTTCGTGGTTAGCTGGCTTCCTCCTTGCTGGGGCCCTTTCTAACTTGGTACCCCTACTCTACCCCCCCCCCCCAAAAAAAAAACCCAGACCTTCTCCTGATGATTTTCGGGGCTAGAGGATACATCTGTTTTGGCCAAACTGCGCATGCCTCCTCTTGTCCTTTTATCTCAAGTGCTGGTCTTCTCAATGTGTGGGGGTGGGGAGTATCAAAGTCAGTACTATATTATATATAAGATATATCTATTTTTCAGTGGTGTATGTTCATTGTATCTAGGGTTAGGTTTCATAAAAGCAGTTTCTTTTAAATGTATCATGTCAGGTCTACATTTTGAGGTAAATACAAAGGAAAACTCTGGCCAAAGATGCAAGCACATTCAAGCTCCAGGTCTAACAGATGTTGTGACCCTTAGGTGCCTGGTTTAATCGTGGGAGGATGATGATGACCATGGTGATGATCGGGATGATAACAACAATAATAACATGAAGAGATGTGGTGGGGATTATGTGGAATGATTGGCATCTTGTACCGAGCCTGTCTTAGAATAGACACTGAATGAGGTCAGAGGCTATGAACGTTTTGTTCACGGCTGTATTTCAGAATCTGGAACAGTGCCTGGCATAGGGTGGATACTCGACGTACATTTGACAAAATAGTAAATGGACAGCAGCTGTCATTATTATTCTGATGTCGTTGGCAGTCAGCCAAGTGCTACGGGTGATTATGACAATGTCAACCTTGGCCACCTCCATTGGTGTCCTTGGTGTGTCATATCACAAAACCAAAAGGAGAGAAGTCTTTCAGAGACACATTTCGGTGATCAGATAACCAAGTATTACTAAGAAAGTAGATTACATTTGTTTGTGCACGGTGTTGCTTTGCATGGTTTCAGCTACCTATGGTCAGCCATAGTTAGAAAATAATATTAGTCTTGACTGGTTGGAGAGAGTCACATTTATGTAACTTTTATTACAGTATGCTGTTATAATTGTTCTATTTTATTAGTTACAGCTACTAATCTTTTACTCTGCCTAATTTATAAATTAAACTTTATTAGGTATTTAAGTGTAGGGAAAGTACAGGATATATAGAGAGCTTGGTACTAATGACAGTTTCCACATCCATGAGGAGTCTTAGAATGCATCCCTATCATTAGAATTGGCCAACTGATGTACCATCCCTTCTGCTTTCCTTCTAG